GGGGGGCTTTTGTTTATGCTAGTAATGACTCTTAAGTGAGACAGAATCAATGGGAGGTCATAGTTAGACACAGTCTCACTTGGGGTGAGTATTGGTTTGTGGGGGGAGATTTCAATGATCTTCTGGATAATTCTGAGAAGAGAGGAGGTATTCTGAGGGAAGAAGCTAGTTTTAGGATCTTTAGGGGGTTTGTGCAGGCCATGGGTATGATTGGTATCAATTCTATGGATAATCAATTTACTTGGGCCAATAACAAAAAATGGAAAGACTTTGTGGAAGAAAAATTGGATAGGATTTTTATCTCTCCTGATTTAAATTTGGTCTTGCATAATCCTTTGGTTAAACACATTCATATGCTCTCTTCTGATCACAAAGCTGTCATCTTATTTACTAATGAGGTGGTTATTAGGAAGAAGAAACAGTTTATTTTTTATGTTAGGTGGGCTAAAAAAGAGGGTTTTGAGGATGCTGTGAGAGGAGGATGGGACTTGTCTGTGGAGGGTCCACCCTTGTTCAGTATCCAGATGAGACTGTAAAATGTTAAAAAAAGCTTACTGAATTGGGTTGGGCAGAACCAGACTAATTTTGCTGTGCTTATTTCTGAGCTCAAGGGTAAGTTAGAAAACCTTGAGCTCTTGGGAGGGGATAGAGATTGGGATGAGTGGGGTAATTGTAGAGATAGTTTGCACAAGGCCTATGTTGAAGAAGAGCTATTCTGGAAGCAAAAGGCCAGAGTTAGCTGGTTAAAAGATGGTGATAAGAACACCAATTTTTCCAAGCTAGTGTTAGGGATAGGAGGAAGATTAATTCTCTTAATAATCTGAAGAAGGCTGATGGCAATAGATGTGAGTCTGAGGAGGACATTGTGATAGAGTTACAGAGGTATTTTGGGGATCTCTTCAGATCCTCGAACCCCATTGTGGACAATTGTAGCCTAGACGGAATTCCCACTTCCATTAGTGATGATATCAATTCTAAATTAATCAGAGAGGTCAGTGTCTCTGAAATTGAAGATGCACTAATGGAGATGGAACCTCTCAAAGCCCCTGAGATTGATGGGTGGAATGCCTCTTTCTTTCAAAATTCTTGGAGTTTTATTAAAGATCATCTTTGTTGTGTTGTGCTTAATTTCTTTCAGAAAGGTAAGATGCCTAAGGGTTTAAACCATGCAACCATCACTCTAATTCCTAAAAAAACCAACCCTGATAAAGTTTCTGAATTTAGACCCATTAGTCTGTGTTCTGTTGTTATAAAATCATATCTAAGGTAATTGCTAACAGACTGAAACCTGTGCTTAACTCTTGCATATCCCCTACTCAATCTGCTTTTGTGCCTTGTAGATATATTATTGATAATGCTGTTATTGCCAATGAATGCATTCATTTCTTAAATAGCAAAAGAAAGGGTAAGGACAGTTATATGGCTATCAAGCTTGATATGGCCAAGGCTTATGACAGAGTAGAGTGGGATTTTCTGGTTAGGGTTTGTCAAAAGATGGGTTTTCATGCTAAATTTATCTCTTGGATTTTAGCTTGTATCTGCTCAACCTCTTTCTCTTTCAATATAAATGGAAATCCTTCAGGTTATGTCCTTCCCTCTAGAGGATTGAGACAAGGGGACCCACTGTCCCCTTATTTGTTCATTATCTTGACTGAAGCATTTTCAAACCTGATCAAACAAGCCTGCATTAGATCTGAGTTCCATGGCATTAAGATTAGTAAGCATGCTCCTTTGATTTCACATCTCTTCTTTGCTGATGATTCAATCTTGTTCTGTAAAGCTTCTGTGTCTCAGGTCAATTCTATTCTGAATATCTTAGAGGAATATGGTAGGGCTTCTGGGCAGTCAGTCAATTTAGATAAATCCTTTTTATTCTTTTCTAAGATCATTTCTCCTGAGACTGTTGTTGAGATTTGCAATACTCTGAATGGGATCTTTAGGGTTTATTCTTCCAAATATTTGGGTCTTCCATTGGGTGTAGGCAAAAACAAGAGAGACACTTTTCAATTTATTAGTGACAGAGTGAAACAAAGAGTGTGTAGCTGGAAAAACAGATTTCTGAGTGAGGCAGAGAGGGAGGTTTTAATTAAATCTGTTCTTGATGCCCTCCCTACCTTTGTGATGTCCTGTTTTAGAATTCCTGTGGCTGTTTGTAGGAATATCTTCTCTGATGTTGCTGGGTTTTGGTGGGGTAAGGTAGGGGAGGGTAGTAATAAGATCCATTGGGCTTCTTGGGATAAGGTTGCTAAGTCTAAAGAGAGAGGGGGGGGGTTAGGTTTTAGGGATTTGAGAGAGTTTAATGAGGCTATGTTGGTCAAACAGCTTTGGAGATTGATCACTAAACCTAATCTCTTAGTTAGCAGAGTGATGAGAGGTAAATATTTTTGGAAAGAGAATTTCTGGGAGGTTAAGCCTAAGAGTGCAGACTCTTGGTTTTGGAGGAGTTGGTTAGAGGCTAGGAAGTCTTTGCAATTAGGTGTTAGATATAGAGTGGGGGATGGTAGATCTATAAACATTTGGAAGTCCCCTTGGCTCCCAGTCAATTCCAATTTCATCCCTAAGTGCAACTTTTCTAGTGATTTGGATAGGGTAGAGAGAGTGGATGAGCTTATTGATAGTACTAAGAGAGAGTGGGATAGTGAGCTGATTAATCAAACCTTTAGCCCTGAGGATGCTGAAATTATTCTTAACATCCCTTTAAGTCATTCTGGGCAGAAGGATAAATTAATATGGCATTGGCACACCAAGGGAGAGCTGACAGTGAAAAATGTGTATGATTTTTTGATGATGTGTGAGGCTAGGAAGGAAGCCAGTTCTAGAAAGCTCAACTCAGTATCACAGAAGATGTGGAAGAATACTTGGAAGCTACCTATTGCAGGTAAAATCAAAAACTTCTTATGGAAATGTTGGTTTGGGTATTTTAGTACTGGGGTCAGGTTGAATCAAAAAAAGATTTTGTGTGATGTCCAGTGTCCTATTTGTGGGGAGGAAAAAGAGGATCTTGAGCATATGCTGTTCCATTGTAGTAGAGCTCAAATATGTTGGAAGCTGATAGGGGTTTATTGGGATAAACTGGCTCATCATCAGAGCAAATTCACAGATTGGTGGTTTGATATATGTTCCAACAACATGGATGAATGTGTCATTGATAGAATCAATCTTTCAAGCTACCTATTGTGGTGACTTTGGAAGACTAGAAATGCTTGGGTTTTTGAGAAAAAAATGGACCTCTGAGTATGTTCTAATAAAAAATGCAGTGTATTGTTGGAATGAATTTTCTGATTCCTGCAAAAATAGTGTCAAGGTCAATAGTGGGATGGACAAAGCTCAAAAACCAGAAGGGGAAGAGATAATGCTGGGGGTAGGGCAGCCTATGATAGCTGTCAGTGCCTTAATTTCTCCTACTGGTTGGCTGGGGTTGGGAGGAGGCATCTTCTGCAGTGAGTCCATAACACAGAGCTCGTCAGAAGCAATCAAGTTTACAGGGAAGACTGAGGAAGGTATGCTTAGAGGAGTAAGATGGATCTTAGAGAAAGTGGCTTCACTCAAGCTAACTTCTTTCAGCTGTTGTGTGGAGACTAAAGATCTTGCATTAAAGCTTAAGGACAAACAACAATTCCACTGTGATTATGGAGTCATTGCTGAAGACATTCACATTTTGGTGTCCTCCTTTGAGTGTTGTAATTTTATTTATGTTTCTTCTTTGAGTAGTGCTTGTAGTAGATTGGCCAAAGGAGCTTTTGAGGGATTGTAATTTGTACTTCCTCGTTTGGGTATCTCCTTTGGTAGATTGCCTGTATCTGTAGTCAGTTGATTATTCAGTTGTACTTTCGTATTTGAGTTTTTATGCAATTCAGTTGATTTGAAAAAAAAAAAAAAAAAAAGCATAAAAATTGCGTGCTTTGCTTATGATGAGAAAAATGGCATTAAAACTTGGAAAAGAGTCTAAAAAGGAAAATGTGAAAAGGAAGCAAGCTCGTGTAGAAAAGTGAAAGTTGTCATATTGAGAATAGTAATAAATAATGATAATTTCGTGGGACAAACATATTGTATTAAAGAAAATGTCAACCAATGTTCCAACACTTAATTATTATCAAACTAATGATTAATAATCATTTTGTGTTGACCCACCACTACCTCTTTTGTCACTCCTTGGTCTCCTTTTATTATTTAAATATTTATTTTTCATATAATGAAACAAAATAAAATCTCATGCTTAGCAAATGTGCAAGTTTGTAGGACCTTATTTCATAATATTGTATGAATTGAAATGTAAATAAAAAAAGGGGAGAAATATGTGATAGTAATCGGTAACGCATCAGTAAGAAATGGGGCAACTAAGAAATCGGTAACGCAACAGTAAGAAAATATGTGATAGTAAACGATGTGAGACAACTAACAGGTGATAAAAACCACACCAGCACGGTTTAATATGATTGATTAGTCAAAAAAGTGACTTGCTATTTGCAATTTTGCAAGTTTAACCTGTCTCACATTTTAGATCTTTTATATTATAATCAAATCTCGTTTTTTTGATATGACCGCTTTTTAGGTAAATTATTTGGGGCATCGACGTTGGAGAGTCACAACTTGCAGCCAACATATGGGGGTCCCTCATGCCGGCCCAATATTTCCCCATGAGAAAATCCACAATTTGGCCCAGTAATTTGAACCGCTGGCCCAAAATTGTCTTCAGGATGGATAAAGAAAAAGGAGACAAATGCCTTTATTCCATCAAGACTAGTAATTGAGGCCTAGGTAGTGTGAGTAAAAGCAATTGAGACGGGTTCAAATGTTTAATGGGCCAATTTTACTCGAGTCTGAGCCATTCTTTTTAAACAGGCCCAATTACCGCAAACAATGCCCATATTGATCAACATCAACTACTGGCTATTAATTGCTGTGTTCGTAAAACTAAAAAGGCTTGGCTCCTTATCACACAACCACAACAGAACCGCCATAGCCGAGACAGCTGAAAAGCAAAGAAAACTCCACAAACAATGATCAAGAGAAAGCTCTCTCCCTTGAGGCTCAAAAGCCTTCTTTCTCCATTTTTTTTCACTACGTATGTATCCCCGAACACTCTTCACGCGCCAATCAGACAACTTCCATCCTTAAACCCTTCTAAAACCCTCACATTCATCTTTCTGGCAAAGCCCTTCTCGTCACAGTCTTTGAAAAATCAATCTTTTCCGAAACTTCCCCTTACAAGGGATGGAAACTACGAGGAAGACGACCAACAACACTTCCCCATCTGCCCCGGCTGTGGAATCCGAATGCAAGACATTGACCCCAAGCAGCCGGGGTTTTTCATCGAGCCCGCAGCCAAAGGCCCGAACTATAAGAGATTCAGGAAAATGGTTCCCGTCCTCGACGATTCCGAAATCTCAGATTCCATCAAGAGGGGATTCGCGAACGAGATTCTGGACGTCCGGGGACGCGAGAATCCGGAAACAGAACATCAGGTGTTTGAAAAAATGCCGCAGAAGTTTGAAAGCCCGATAAACAGCGGCCCGGATGGTAGACGGGCTAGTCAGTTGCCCGTTGTCTGCGCAAGGTGTCACAGCCTCAGGCACTACGAGAAGGTGAAGGACCCGAGTTTGGAGAACTTGCTACCTGATTTTGATTTCAACCACACTGTTGGGAAAAGGCTTGTGTCGGTGGGTGGGGCCCGAACGGTGGTTTTGTTTGTAGTGGATGCTGTCGATTTTGATGGTTCGTTCCCCAGAAAGGTGGCAGATACAGTGTACAAAACGATTGATGAAAATTTAGGATCATGGAAGGAAGGGAAGTCGGGGAATATACCTAGGGTATTGTTAGTAGTGACAAAGATTGATCTTTTGCCGAGCTCCATTTCGCCTACTAGGCTCGACCATTGGGTTCGGTCGAGGGCGAGGGAAGGTGGAGCTGGGAAGATAACGGGTGTGCATTTGGTGAGCGCTATGAAAGAATGGGGCGTGAGGAGTTTAGTGGATGATGTGGTTAAATTTGCCGGGCAACGAGGGAATGTATGGGCCGTGGGGGCCCAGAATGCCGGGAAGAGCACGCTGATTAATGCCATAGGGAAATGTGCCGGCATGAGAGCTTCCAATTTGACTGAGGCATCTGTGCCGGGGACCACATTGGGGATTGTCAAGATGGAAGGCGTGCTTCCAGGGAAAGCTAAGTTGTTGGATACTCCGGGCCTTTTGCATCCTCACCAGGTTTCAACTAGGTTGACATTAGAGGAGCAGAAGCTAGTTCGTGTAGACAAAGAGTTAAAGCCCAGAACGTATAGGATCAATGTAAGTCGTCCATTTGGGTGTTATTTATTTTGTTTAATTGGATTTAATGTCTGCTTTTACCTGCTTTGCTGATGGTTATGCTATCCTGGGGATGAGTAGAGTAGCTCAATGATCTTGCTTGACTCTTTAATGCTGTAAATTTCGTAATTATCTAATGGTGTCTCCTTTAAGGTTGTGTATTGAAGCTTAGAGGAATTAAGAGAAAATAATATGTAACTTTTGCATCTGATGCTTACATATCTAAAACCCCGGTTATCTTTCATGAACTTATGTGGTTCTGAATTTTGGTTTTTTGAAAACATAAAAAATTGAATTAACACATGCATAAAACTGGAATTCTAAGTAAAAATTACGGCATATTGTTCAATTTCCTGGCATTTACTGAAACCTTGCATATCTATTTCTAGATATTTAAATTATCTTCTATTGTGCGGTGTTGGCAGGCAGGACATTCCGTTCATATTGGTGGGCTCTTGAGGTTGGACTTAGAGGAATCTTCAGTAGATTCTATTTATGTCACAGTATGGGCTTCCTCTCTGCTACCTTTGCATATGGGGAAGACAGAGAATGCTTCTAGAATGCTGGAAGAACATTTTGGCCGTCAGTTGCAGGTATAACACGCTGTACCCGAAATTTATTTCTTTTAATTGTCGTTCTATGTTGTGGTGTAAATCACTCATGTAAACTTGCCAAGGCATTCACGATGAGGAAGTTAATGGTCAGAATTTTGTTTTTTGTTTAATTCTTACCCGTGTCATGTCAACTTGACTGCACAAGAAAACAGAAAAAGTAAGGGCTTTGTGAGGGTTTACTATGTTGGTAATGGGTGGAATTGGATGTGAAACTAAACTTTACACTGAACAATCTGTGGTCTTCAGGAGTTGGCATCTTTTGAACTACAATAATGAATAGCAATCAGGCTAAACACTATATTGGACTATGTTTTGCTCGAAAAAAAGAATCTTCCTTTTCTTAATATGGTCTCCTCAGAGTTTAGCTGGTTTTACTTTCTTTATGGTTTTGAGGATTGAGATGCTTAGAAATTTTAAAACTTTCTAATTCTTGATTTTGCTTGGGTATTTATCTATTTTATTAACCTTATTTTTGTTTTTTTGAAGATCCTGTAACAGTGTCTTTAAAAATACACATCATTATTTATTTGCAGTGTTTCTGGATACCTAACTTTTACTGATAATTACATGGCTGTAAGAGCCTACCCCATTTGACGAAAGCCAGTATAACAAGTGTCTCGTAAAGTAATTATTATTATTTTTTATTAAATTATTTTTTTTGGCGACCAGTTGAAAAACAAATCCATGCTTACCACCTTTAATCTCCCATATTTTCAGCCCCCAATTGGCGCAGCACGAGTTAAACAGCTCGGAAGGTGGGTAAAAAAGGAATTCCTTGTTAACGGCGACACATGGAATTCGAGCTCGGTTGACATTGCGGCTGCTGGGCTCGGTTGGTTTGCCATTGGACTCAAAGGAGAAGCTCAATTGGGCATTTGGACATATGAAGGAGTCGATGTGGTTGTTCGAAATGCTTTACTTCCTCAAAGGTCGCGCAGTTTTGAAGTGGCAGGTTTCACAGTCTCGGAGATCGTTTCCAAAGCTGATCGAGCAAGGAACAAGCAGCACCAAAACTCAAAGAAACTGAATACCGGCAACTTGGCTAATAAAGATTTGAGTTTGAATGACTCGTCATCATTAATGCCCGAGTCCAACTCCTCGTGTTCCACTCCATTGATTTTAAATGTTGACACGGGTTCGAATCTGGAGGAGCCTCCGGCTTCATGACTGAGTGTGCATGTGTATGCAAGATAAAAGAAAATCAAGATTTTGGTTATATTATGAAAATGCCCCTGAAGTGTCGCAATTGTAGAAAAGGCGCCTCTATCTTTTAAATCTGGTAATAATCCTCATAGGTTGTTGCAAAGCACTTGCCTTGTGTTTTTAAGGGGTTATTTGTGATTTTGGAATGTAGTTGGGTTATTGTAAACCTTCCAAGAAAAGCTCTTTCGGCCCCATGAGATGGCTGTTGTTTCTCAGAAGTTTTTATGATGTGGTTTGTTTTCGTGTTTAAGACTGAACTCGGTCGTTTATATACTTGAAACAGAATCTTCAAATAATACTGTTTGATTGGTGGTGTTATCAACTGTGTAATGCATGATATCCCATCAGAACTCGGGTTGCATATGGATGTAAACAGAATCTTCAGGGGCTATATACTCAACTTATTCACTGCGTACACTAAGTTTTGTCGTGTACAATTTGTCAACTACATTGACTCCTTATTATCCGTAAATATACTAACTGAACTATTGGTTGATCATTATTGGCTATCAAATTTAAGCTAAAATCAAGGGGTGTTTAGACAGTTTAGACATTAAATCTTTTTAGCACTTTCTTTTACATAGTGAGATTATGAGATTGTGACAAAACAATTTCATGTTCGGGTTATGATAATCTTTATTCCATGAATTACATAGCTATAATTATATTATTCAAGTCGAAAGTTCTTTTCAACATTCTTTTCGTATTCACGATCACTTTATGACAACGATCATATTGAAATTTTGGGGGAGTTGTATAATTGCGCCTAGAAAGTAAACAATAAATGTTTAGTTAAATGCAAAAACAGTTCAAACAATAGTTGAACTTTCAACAAAGCATCGCACTCTCCATTCAGAAATATTTCATTAAAGTAGGTGTTAGGCCTATTACAACTAGGATTTACAATAAAAACTCTCTCTTCTTAACCTATGATGTAATCACTTTACTCAACTACTTTTCCGGCCACTCGTGGACTTTTACAACACGAATCCCTTGCGATGTACAAAAGTGTTCATGCCAAACACCTTGAATAATAGATCAAAATTCTCACTCAAATCAGAGAACATGATGTCTAATTCAATAAAATAAAACAAACCAAACTCCATTTTTTCAGACTCTCCCACACCTTACACATCCACTCAAAAGATTGATCAAAAGTTGTAGGAAACAAATCGTTTGTGCAAGGCTCAATTTACGGTGCTCCACAAGGTAAGTTCATTCAGTCATTCACCTTCCTTAAATATTCTTCAATAATTCAATTTGTTACAATCTTGCTTCCTGGCGTATATGGTAAGATTAACTTGCTTCGCCCGCAAGCTTCCCTTCACATGGTAAGTATGTTGGTTTTTCGACATATGAACCCAGCGTACGTACGCGCATCCAAATTTTAAATTTTTCTTAGTCCGGCTATAACTATTCGATATGATCCTAGATCGCGTGAATGATTAACGAAAACTTTTGTTCGTCTATATCCTCGAGTATGTTATTCACGCAATTCAGTTTTACGGTGCACGATCTAACGCCAATGAATCTCTTCCGGTGAAGAAGTTAGGAATCCTCGATCCGAAAAGCTAGAGAATGTTTTATTTTACTATTGATGTTTTCTTCTCTTCTCCTCTCATCTAATGATCATTGAAGACTACAATGAGATAATGACCTATTTAGAATTAGGTCAAACCTGATCATATGGGCCTTAGGAGACCCTAAAGTCCAATAGGTAATTGGACCTAATTTAATTAATAATTTAATTAAGTATAAAATTCAATTTAACTTAATTAAATATTTTGTATCAAATATAAAATAATATCATTACTCACAAATAAATATTCCAGTCTAATTGAATATTTAACACTCTCCGTTCACTCTTAGTCAGAAAACTGATTGTATATTGTGTGACCCTATAGGCCTTCATATATTGACATAAATCTAATTTATGATCCTTACGAAAATCCTAGACCGCGTCGAAGGACGAACTCAAAATATGAAGTACGTTTACATGGAAAAAGCAAACAAAGCTTTAGTGTAGAATTTGATAGTGATATAGTACCTTTATTCACGAACCACTCAATTAAGCTTAAGACTTGAACGTGTGTCTATCCAAAAAGCTTAATCAATTTATCTCATGTCACTGGTTGATATTAAGTAATTATATCTGACCACCATTTAAAATATAATCACGTGCATTGACCAATGACTTTGTCAACCCAGTATAAAGAAAACGAGTGTTCTCTCGAAACTATGTTCGAGGAATGAATCCCATCTTGCATCAACTACCAATTCCATGTATATCGTAATCTACCAAACACATGCTCGTGTCTACCCAGAAGGGCGTAAGCGTTGGACTGGGTCTAAGTAAATCACTGTATACATGAATTGCGTATTGACCTCAAGTCAAATGACTATTACACCATTCTATACACTGATACTCTCATAGATACATAAACAAATGGTTTATCGGTACGACTTACTCTCTAAAGTATCCATGTCTCCATCACGAATAGCAATTATTCATAGCAGTGGGACATATATTCTCTAAGAATATGATGCAGACCACATCACGTATCATTAATATCCATTTCTTAATGATCATCAATTGAGGCGATTTGAGAGTTATATTTTATCAATTAACATCTCACTCTGTTAATAAAACTGTTAATGACAGTATCAACTCAAGGAAGGAATTAATTAATAAATTGCAAACAATCAAATAATTATTTAATTAATTGTAATACTATAATTATAATCTAATATAATTATTAATGTGATCATGTATATATGTTTTTAAAAAGATTGTCTCTAAGACACATATACTAACAAAGTATGCCCACTCTTCATCCTCTTTATTTTAGATACATACGACCATCTTCTATTCTTCGATCTCATTTGTGTTATGCATCGCAAGGAATTCTCTCTTCTGATTTTCCTACATATAAATACATAAATATAACTTACTCCATAATTAAATAAGCTAGATTAAATATAAATAATATTGTTGTTCATAAGAACAACTCTAAGAGAGGTACTATTAGAATATAGCTTGTATTGGGGCATAACATTATTTGTATCTTGGGCCTGAAGATTAGCATTTTGGGCCTTAGCATTGTTTTTGGTTTGCATTATGTTTGAGCCCTTAGTATAAATAGGATAGCATTAGGGTTTTCTGTTCACTTTTTGTCTTTTCATTTCCTCGGTTCTCTCTCTCAAGAAACCGAAGCTTTCCTCTCCATTTATCTCCTCTGTAAATCGTTCCTCAAGCTTTAATGAAGATTTGATGTTGTTTTTACTACTTTTCTATTCTATTATGGTATCAGTTTTCGGGATCTACTCTCGATCCGCTTGATTTTCCGCTGCTACTTTACGTTTTTTTTTCTCGTTCGATTTCGTACGATTTTTTGCTTCGATTCCTTCGATTCAAGGTTTATTTCATCCTAATCTGTGTAGATCTGCTACTTTCTTACGGATCTGCTCCGATTAATTTGGATTTACTTGCATCGATTCTTTACTCTGTGCAAATCCGATCTGTTCTCACTTGAGACGACGCTATGACTCACCCGACGGATGATCCTATGTCGCCGTACTTTCTGCATGCTAGTGACAATCCCGGAGCCGTCATCGTTGCCGATTTGTTCACCGGAGACAATTATGTGGCCTGGTCCAGGGCTGTAACCATGGCTTTGAGCGTGAAAAAACAAAGTCGCTTTTATTGATGGTACTCTGATAACCCCTAACCCTACTACTCATCCTACTGATCACATTGCTTGGATTCGTGCTAATAACTTGGTACTTTCTTGGATTTTGAACTCTGTGTCTAAGGATATTCCTTCATCTCTATTATTCTTTTCTAATGCTCAACATGTCTGGGATGAACTTAAGTCTCGTTATGCTCTCAGTAGTGGTCCTAGGGTTTTTCAACTTGAAAAATCGTTGAGTTCCATGGATCAGGGTTCTCAGTCT